TGTCTCCACAAACTGTGCTAAACCACAGTCATTAGTTAATGGGAAAAATCCATTAATGGGTACCTACATCACCATGTTACCCTCTAAGCTTGGGGATTTGCTTGCAGACATTTCATTACCCAACTAGGTAACATCTTCAGTGCTCCCACAGTTTAACCCTGAGCTACATATATTCTCTTTTATTGTAACTCCCTATCTATCCCTTTGGCTCAGCCAAAGATTAGCAGCCCATGTGACTGCAATTTCTNGTTCCTGAATTAGAAATATTTGGCTATAGTGCAGTGGGTCTCAACCTTCCTAATGCCGCGACCCTTTAATACAGTTCCTCATGTTGTGGTGACCCCCAACCATAAAATTATTTTATGTTTTCCATATTTTTTTTGAAAATATGTGTTTTCCGATGGTCTTAGGCAACCCCTGTGAAAGGGTCGTTCGACCCCCACAGGTTGAGAACCACTGATACAGTGGCATTTAATATTTGACATTTAAACAGATCCCTATTACAAAAATTGTGGTAACAGAAGCTGGCACAATCTTGCACTCGCCTTTTCAGACTGCAAGTATTGTTTCTAAATATGGTCCTGTGTAAATACCCACCCCCACCCCATCTCTGCATCTGGAAAAGTATTCGTGCCATTTTAACACAAGTAGGATTGTTTAAAGAAATGTGCATATTATGTTGCACACAAATCTGGGGGTTTTTTTGGGGGGGGGATGACAATTTTAACGCTTTTACTGCATCCCGCTGCAAGTTAGACTTTTTAGGATAACTCTTCATGAAATGATGGAAGAAAAGAAAAGAAGATGAGACCAAGTTGACAATAAATACTGTATTTTAGATTAGACATGATCATACCAGAGGAACATATATGATGAAGTCAACATTTGTAAGCAAAGCAAAATGGTCTGACTGTTGTAAGCTGTCCAATGCCACTTAAGTGAAATGGGAGGCCCTACAGAATGAATCAATCAAGCAGCTTTAGACCCAGGAATATAGACTGAAACATATAGAATATTCTGACTTTATAAATATTATCACACACTTACGTAGAGGCAGAGTAACTTGCACCTCTAGAAATTTGTAAACTACCTAGCACTGCAAAGACACTTCTTGTACATAAACATTTAGAACATTGTGCCAGAGCTGCAATGACCGCCTGGAGGCATTGCAGATACTGTATGCAGGGCAATTTTTCAGAAACTAATGTGCCATCCTGCAACTCAAACTTCAGATTTGGACCACTGGTCCATCAACCAAAGAGTGGACAGGCATAACTTTGCAGGATTTCATCTTCCCAGCCTGCTCTAAATTTGTCAAGATTGAACCTAGGAACTTTTGTTGCTTAGCATCTAATGGAGAGACTGGTCTAAAGTCACCCTTCCTGTTCCAATCTTATTCCTTAATCACTTGTTATACTTGTCACCAGCAACTCCAATTCACCTATTCAGATTTTTCTATCTGGGATGCAAGAAATTTAACTTGATACTTCTACAAATATAGCATAATAGCACATGTATTTGTGCTATTTGGTGTATCAATGAACAGATTCTTTCCAAAGAAGAATATAATGTGCAACTTTGTTTGATGCACAGGAAAAGCTTGAAATGTGCAGGGACTTTCCTAATATAGTCCCCCATTTGGGGAATACAAAAGTAAAACCCTGTCAGTTTACTAATAGTTCCCATGCATGTTGTAAAATAAACCACTCTTTTGTGCAGGGGACTTTCATCGAGAAATGTTCCATTAGAATCCTACCAATTCATTTTGTTGGACATGACATCTTACACTTGAACTTAAAAATACAGAAAAGAGAAGGTCAAGGGTTAGTGCATGGTATTTTTTTAAAGCAAGTTCTCCACATAAGAAAGGGGAAAAAAGCATCTTGTCCATTATCTTGTGTTGTTACTACACATTTGTTGTTCAAGCACAAAATCTTAAGTATGTGCCAACTTTTTATGGTACCATGCAGTGTTTTTTTTGCTCTAGGTGGATTTGATTCATTTATCAGATAACCTGTGGTTCACTTTGTCCTTGGCAAAAATTCACCTTTTTCTCTACTGACCACTAAGAACTGTTGCAAGAATAAATGAAAAACAAGGAAACTATGTTAAGGAAACTATTTTGAACTCTATGAAGTAAAGCAGAATATAAATTTGATATAGGTAAAGTAGAAATATTTTGATTGATTTTGGTTTACATGTTCATTTCATACAGTGTTTTTTCCACTAATACATATTATCTCTGGTAATATCTTCCTCAATACCCATCATTTCTGGCACAAAGGTTTTAAAACATTAGTAACTCCATAGGTCCAAGATAACTAAATGAAAATATTGTGGCTATGAATAGAAAGTCAATAGTTCAGTTGTAACAGCAAAAGAACTTATGAAGTTCATTTACCTGTAAACAAATATAGTGGTGATAATTAACCAGGACAGCCTTGGAAAAAAAAGACCCAGAATTTATGCTACAGGGTAAAAGGAGACTTATTCTTTAGGTATATTCACAGCAAAGACAAAGGTGAATGAATTACACAGACCAAAATTTGACTACAACTGGTTTCTGTCCTTACATAGAAATTCTTCCTCCCTGAAAGTTACTCTGTTTACTTTCTAGCATGTACTCAGATAGAAAGGTAAAACTTTGAAAAGAAGAAAAGAAACTGAAAGAATGATAACTGGTATCATACAAAGAACTCTCCAGAAAGAACCAGAATCCTGATTTTCTTGATCTAGTTTTAATACCAGGCTACGTTCACACAAAATTATAGGACATCATATGATTATTTGGCTTTGGTTCATAACATGATGAACCCAGCCACATTGTTTAAATATCCTGCTTTAGGGCAGGAGTGCAAAAAGGGTGATATCCAAACCATGTTTGTTTTCTTTTTGGGGAGGATTTTCAATACCCATTAAGGGGCAAATGGATGCTCTAAATGTGGCAGATGCGTCTGATATCAATATTAAGCTTTAAAATTCCTGCATTCCCCCCCCCCCCAAAGGGGACCCACATCTGTTTGGATGCAATTCTTGACATGCCATGCAAAGTCTGGCAATATCCTTCAGGAGTTGCACATCTATTGTTTAGGCTTGGGTGAATTACACTGTGTGAACCCAGCCAATTATGATGTGTGCAATAAACTAAGGCTAAACAAACCATGGCTCAGCACAATCTATGAGCCACCAATGGGACATAGGCAGAAGCAGCAGTTTTTCTTGGCATTACTTTTACCCTTCTGCCAGCAATCAATGGAACCACAGGTTGCTCCCTGGACAGATGTTATCTCTAGCATCACAAAAACATATCTTTAAGTTATTAAGATTGTTCACAGCAAGAAAACTGGATGTATTTGTATGGCTGGACTATTTCTGTATAGGTTCATAGTGCTATCTGCCATTTATACAAAGATACACATGTGCCAAAAATGGCAGAAATTCAAATTTGCAATCAACAGCTAACCTCCATTTCAAATTCCAGCTCCTGAACATTTTCATTGGTGGTTGCTTTAGGTTCATAGTGCATAGCCTGTGGTTAAAAGCATATATATGAAGAGGTGAGTAATATTAGCCTACAATAGATGGTTAGTTTCCCATACAAATACTATCCTCTTGTGCAGCTACTCCTCATGTTTATTGAACCTTTACAGTCTGAACATGTTGTAATGCAGAGTATACAATCTGAATGACTTCATGAATACTGTTCAAATCAACGGGTCATTTTCAAGACATTAAAACCATGAATGTTCTGTCCAAGATACATACATATAGAGTTCACCTAAGAATTTGGCTTGCAAAAAAACTCTGTTTTCTTTTAAAAAGTAAATGGCTCAAACAATAAAATTTTCCATAACACTCTTATGTCTAAGACAAAGGATACTTAGTTATTTCACTTTATCCAGAGTTAACTTTAAAAGGGGGGGGGGTTTACACAAGGCCACAGGCTTTGGCAAGCAAATGAGCATCCTCCACTTGAGTAGACGGGGACCATTACTGCAATCCAATATGCGTCCACCTAACATGACATACGCCTTTGCTTCATTTACGTTGTCTGGGTACGCATCTTAGAAACACAACGTGTGAATCCGCCGCGTGTCCTTCACCAAGCTGGGATCAACGAATCAAACTCAAGGGGGGTGACGCAGGGAGAGCCGTTGGGTTTTCTAGTGTTGAATGGCGGGGGGCAGGAAAAGAAATATTGGATGCTCCCTTAAAGCTCCCTCCTTCCTCGCTGCTGCGCAGGCAGAGAGACTCGCTACCTAGGAAGTAAAGAAGGAAGACGAGGCGAGATCCTGTCTCTTTCCTGCTCAAACAGCTGTGGCCAGCAAATGGGGAAGCCAGAGGTAAACAAACACCGCAGAGAAAAGGGGAGGGGAGCCAGCGGAGCGACAATTCTTTGCATCCGATTCTCTTGCAAAGGCAGATCCCGCTACGGAAATTCTCTCGGCTCCGCTCTTCACTCCGACTTGGGTCAAAATTGTCTCGCGAGTAACTGCCCGGTCCCGGCGAAAACGGGAGATGGAAAAGAAAACAAACGGAGAGGACCCCCCAAGCAGGGCGCGTGGGGTAGGGGGGGGGGCAAAAGACTTCTCGCACCTACCCACCTAGAGAGAGAGAGACCCCTCGCCGTTTTTCCTCCCTTTTCGGGTGCAAACCATTCCCAAAGCCTGGCGCCCAGCTGCATCTGCAGAAAGCCGCCGCCGCCACTGCAATGCACTAAAAGGTGGGGAGAGGGTGGGGGGGAAGAGCAGGGGGGAGAGGAATAAAGAAATTGAATCCGGCCAGGCCTCTAAACGAGAGAGAGAGAGTCACTTTTTACGAGCCATTTGCCAAACTAACAGCTTAACCAGGCGCAGCGGGAGAGCAGAAAGAGGTGCAAGCGCAGCCCGGCCGGGCGCTCCAGACAATGAGCTAGCAAGGGCAGCCGAAAGGCAGAGCAGGCCCCAAATAGCTGCTTCCTCCCCATCTCTAACCTGGGAACGCCGTGGCGGCTCACTTACATGGCCTGGAAGGGTTGCAATGAAAGCCGCTGGCCGGAGCCGAGGCCTAGGCGAGCTGTTGCAGGCGCCTCCGCCTTGCTTGCTTGCTGGTGACCGCTAGTCTCCCAGGGAATCAGCCCATGGAGCGCTTCGCCTGCATCGGTTATGAATGGTGGCCAGGAAGGTTTGCCAGCGGCCGGAGGCGCCCGGGCTCGGGCTCCTGCTCTCTTATCCAGGCTCCCTTTGAAAGAGAGAAACGAGGCAAGCTGGGCGTTGTGGGCTTGGAGCGTAGCTGCTGCCGTTCCCAGTTCCTCCAGCTTCCCTTCCTTTCCCTTCTTTGACTCACTCGCGCGCACACTCTCTCTCTGTCTCTTCCCCGGAACGCCCGCGGGGTCCTACCGCCCGGCATGCTCCTCTCCTTGTTTCCATTCAATTTTTTTAAAATAAATAATAACAAACGGCAGCCACCCGCGCCAACGAACAGACTCACAAAACATCCTTCAGGAAGCTCCTCGCCCACTTTCCTCCCGCCTCCCAGTTTACCAAGCGCGCCCCTTTTTCTCTGCTTCCTCCGTTCAGCCGGCGCTGCTTGGGCGTTTGGAGGCTGCCGACCTAGGTACGTTTACCTAGCCCTGAACTAAGTGGGTCTTACTCTGGAGGAGAGACGCGCAGACCTGCCGTAATTGCTGGGCTAGGTAGGCAGAGTGNGGAGGGCTTTCCTGAAACTAGGGAGAGCGAAAATTCACCACCACTCCCGCCGGGTTTGCTTGCGCATGCATGGTAAGGGTTTGTTCGCAAATACGCAGGTGGGGGGGTCGCTCATGCATGTGAAGGTGGGTGGGCACACACGTGTGTGTGTGATAGCGCGCACCCTCACAGTTTTGGCACATCTTTAGAAAAAGGATAGCCATCACTGGTCTATGTCTTAGCATATGTCAATACACTCATTTATAGCTTGTTCCAATATACAATCCAGGTTCCACATGTCAGCTACATGTCTCTGTGCCAGCGGCAGATGGCATCATCCTTATACTACTGCTTTTCTCTAGCAAAAACTTAGCTTGGTCTTTCATTAAAAGGTTACAACTAGCTAAGTAATACAAGGTTTTTGTCATTCCCCCCAGCTCATCGTACATGCCATCATTTCCCCTAACCAATATATTCCCCTTGAAAATAACGCAGCTGTTTCCAGCAAATTGCAAAGCCAAGCTGGGTTAAGATTTTGGAGCACTGCTCACCAGTTTGGCCAAATCATGATGGGTTTTTTTTTATAGGGATGACAACGGCTGTAGAATAGCCAATCAGAACAAGTCTGTACTAATAAAAGCAAAAATTGAAACCCCCAAACTATTCCAGACAGAAACAAAATATCTGCTACAAGATTCCAAAAGTATCTCCTCCATCAGTTGGTAAATTATAACTCTCTGTTCTGCTGAATTAGTCCTCTTGAAATATGTCTTTCTTGGGAAATTTCTACTACCGTACCCTTCTTACATTATCTTTAAAAGGTAAACAGCATTCTAGTTTCTTTTTTTTTCCTCCCAAGTATTGAGAAAACCAAACCTCCTAAAGTGGTAACTCCATAATAAGGGATTTAACTAAAGCAGATCTAGGAAATGGTTTTTTGAAGTAAGTAAAAATTTTAAAACAAACCAATCAAGCTTCCTGGACAGTTATGCTGAAATGTTGACACTGAATAGCTGTTGACATGGAAGTGCTATTTATTTTTTTCTGGCAGAGAGTCTCTGTGTTGACAGTAGCTGTATAATTATTTGCAATCCAATACTCAAATTAGATGAAATAGGTGGAATAAAATAAAATAGAACTTTTCTCCATCACAATAATTAAAACTGAATCAGTTGGGTTTTTCTGTCTGCTTGATAGATAAAGCAGAAATATGTAATTTTATATATCTTTTCTTTAAAGATAATTCTTTGGAATTTTTCTAAGGAAGTTCCTCTTCTTCCAAGGTTTCTAAAAGAATACAGGTGTTCCTAATTTTGTATCTATTTACCCAGCAAGCATTTGAAGCTATAACATTGAAAAAGTGACATAAAATCAGTCCTTGCATTTACAATCTTGGCAGCATCCCCATGATCATGTGATCAAAATTCAAGGACTTGGCATCCAGTAAATACTTACAACAATTGCAGCATTCCAAGGTCATGTGATCACCATTTGCACCTTCCCAGCTGGTTTCCAACAAACAAAATCAATGAAGAAAGCCGGATTCACTTAACAACTAAGCAATTCACTTAACAACTGCAGTGGATCACTTAACCAATATGCAAAAAAAGGACATAAAACCAGGTGCAATTCAGTTAACAAACAGTTTGCTTAGTAATGGAAATTTTGATCCCAACTGTGGTTATAAGTCAAGGACTATTTGTATGTGCATTCTTAAAGCATATTGGTTGAACTCGCATAACTGCTAAGTCTTAATGGGCTTTGTTTTAGGTTTACCATTCTGCTTTATAAAGCATGCTTTATGGCTTAATGTGATGTGCAAATTGGCTGGGATCACACATCACCCAATTTTATTTAAAAGTTACTGAATCATAATAGGCTGGATTACAACTCACTAAGCCAAAATGAAACCAACCAACTGAAGTGTAGGGTATTGTTTGAATTCAAGCATAATTGTCATTAAATAATAGTTTCCAGCCTCACCATAAGATGACAAAGGCTATGAGTTACATGCCTTAAAACTAGCGCTTCTAACTAAAATTAAGGTGTAGACCAACAGTGTTAATTTGCTATTCTGCCTATTGTTTTCTGATTATTCACTAAGTTCACTAAGATAATAAAATAGAAAAGTCTAAACCAGTGGGCCCCAATCTTTTGGGCACCAGGGACCAGTTCCGTGGAGAGAGGTTTTACTACAGACTGGAGGGGATGTGATTTCATGTGCTGCCTGCATCCCGCTGATTCCCTTGTTTGCACAGCCCGGTTTCTGGCATGCCGCAGACTGGTGCCAGTTCATTGACTGGGAATTGGGGACCCCTGGTCTAAAGAATTCCCCCCCCCCCAGTCGTTAACCTAAAGTAAATGTCAGGCTTGGAAGCCATCATTGTATAGGTTAAGGGTAGTTAAAAGGCATTCAGAAGTTATCATATATTCCAGAAGTAAAAAATTGCATAGACATTTGTTAAACAGTTAACATTTTTGTAAAATTTATGTAACCTGTTTTGCATTTCATGTTCTAAAAAAGTTTTTCATTCACACCTATGTAATCTAATTCTAGTCTAATAACTCATGCATGCACCCAATGTCTTGGAAAATGTCTTGGCTGCATTTTTAATAGCAGTTTGATCTATTGTAATTGCTAATGAATGAAATTGTGCACATTCCTTGAAGAAGGAAACAGGGATCTCAAACTCACGTGTGACCTTTGGAAGCCTGGGGTGTGTTCTCCTGAGCTACTCCAAATTTATTGCTGTTATTTTTTAAAGTGGTAGAAGAGGCAAGTTATTATTATATTGGTTGATTTATGATTGTGAGCTGCCCAGAGCTACTCTGTAGTAAAATGGGTGGCCAATAAATTTTATAAATAAATAAATTATATGCAATAGGAGAGAGCGGATTTACTGTGATTAATTTCTTACATTTAGTCCTGGCACTATTTACTTTAAAGAGGACAGAACGTTCCTCAAAAATTAAATGAAATTCTTATGTCAAAAAAGTGCATCCAACCATTGCTTAGAATCAGTTGCCAAGCTGCAGCCTTAAACTGAGCTACCAGCTTTTTAGTAAATCTGCTTTCACTGTTGGGGTGACAAGTACTGTGAAGTCCCTTTCCCTGGAGCAAATGGCATCCAATAGGAAGCCAGGATTAAAACAGAAAGGGGATTCAAGATGATCCTAAAAGGTTGGAGAACTGGATGAAAAACGATCACATGAATAACAAAATAAATATAAACTTACATAATTTTTAGAGAAAACTATTGTACTTATTTAAAACATTAAATCTCCCAGTAGCTGAAACTCTCCAGCTGTATATAATAAACACAACAGCAACAACGATAATAATAACAACACATCAAGAAATTGCGGCTTCCTGCAATAACACCAGCGGAACTGCAAAAAATTGCACTACTCGGAACATCGTATATTTTAAGAAGGTACCTTGGTTGATACCCAGGACGCTGGCAGCAACCCATATCAACCATTAGCACCAGTAAATGGTATTTGTGACACATTTTTAAATGTTCAGTTGACTGAGTTTCATGTTTAATGAATTATTATTATTATTATTATTATTATTATTATTATTATTATTATTATTGATGATTATTTAAAAGAAAGTCAAGAACATCTATTAATCGAAGTAAAGAACAAAAATCTACTGAAGGCTCAACAGAC